CCGCCTCCCCAGCGGGCACGGAGCCCCCTGAGCGGGGCCGGTGTGTCTGTGGGTGTCAGCATGGCTGGGCTTGCCCGCTCCCTGTGTGCTCGGGGCTCCCTGCCAGCGCGAGGGCAGGAGGCAGCTGGGAGCCGGGATCTGGCCCCTTATGCTCGGACATAGATGGGGCCCTGTCCACGCTGCCCTCGGGCTTTGGGGGGCTCCCTGTCTCCTGCAGGCGCCAGAGCGGCCTGGGGACCCTGGACGTGGTCCCTCTGGTCAGGCAGAGGGGGGAATGTTAGCATCGGGCCCCTGCTCGTCCCCCGGGGTGGGGGACGTCCCCTCATCACCTGTGAGGCCCGTGGAATTCTGGGAGCAGAAACCCCTCCCGATGTCTCATCCCCGAGTGGTCCCTTCTTGTTGCGGGTCCTGCCCTCCCCCCGCCCCTGCTGCCCCTGGGACAGAAGCATTCTGGGAAATGTGGCCCCTTACCCTCCTCCACGCCCCCCATGCTCAGGGGCCGGGACCAGGTTACCGTGACTTCCCAGGGAACGAGGTGAAGCGTTGCCTTCGCCCCGAGGCGAAGCGGCTGCTTGGCATGGGTGCTGCCCATCGGGTGGGTGAGGGCACCCCCAGGGGTGTGCGGCCATCACACCTCTCCTGCTGGGCCGCCCCGTCCGCAGCCCGGCCCCTGGGGCTCGGCGTTTCCTGAGAGGAGCGCCCGGGGTCCTGGAGGGCTCACGCGTGGCCGTGCGTGTCCTGGCTCCTCGCTCATGGGCCCCGGGCTCACCTGTGTGGCAGGGCCTTGGGGGTCCGCTGGGGAGGCCGGGGTGACTCCGACACAGCTGCCAAGCCCCCCGAGTCTCGGCCAGGCCCAGATGCTGCTGCCCAAGGGGAGGCCCCGACCGCGGGCACTGGGGCTCACCTGGCCACCTGCACGGGGCTGATGGGGACAGGTGGGGACGGGGCCTCGGGAGCTGCTCGCCAGGGGCGGTCCGGCTGAGCCCAGGCCGGTCAGGAAGCTTCTCAGCGGCTGTGACCTGCGGGCCTTGGGGTGAGGGTGGGGGGCTTGCCCCTGGCGGCCGCTCGCCCTGCCCCTGGCCTGGGTGACGGGGTCTCTGAAGTGCTTCCGTTGCTGGTTCTTTAAGCTGCGAAAAAACTGGTCCCTGTCACTCTGTTGACACCCCAGGCAGCCTCTCCGCCCAGCCCAGGCCTCGGGCAGGCAGGTCCCCGTCATAGGTCATAGGTCATAGGCTGGGCCTGGGGCAGTAGCTCGGCTCCTGAGTCACAGCTGAGCCACAGGTTCTGCCCTGGGCCTGGGGGTGGGGC